TAAATAAATAAATAAATAAATTAATTAATTAATGTCAGGACATACCTATTAGCATTTCATACATAATCACTCCCAGGGACCACCAGTCACACAGCTTGTTGTAACCCGTCTGCATGAAGACTTCTGGAGCAATGTAATCTGGTGTCCCAACTGTGGAATATGCCTACAAGGAAGCAGCATGTCAAGCCAGTATCTTTGTGAACATCATTTAATACTGGACAAAGCAATATATAAAGAGGTTAATTTCTTATGTAATTGTTATTTTACATGTTTATGTTGTGATAGGTACTGAGTTGGATAATATAAAGACTACATGATTTCTGCCCATAAGAAACTCTTCTAAGTCATTTATATATGAAGTCCTCTCTACTCTCTTGGGAGATGCTGATGTTACAGGCCAGAAGGACAACACCCTGTAGGAAGAGGTTCACAAGTCCCTGCCCTGCCATACTTTTAAGCAGTACAGTGGCTCTCACTTACCATGGAGGTGTTCCAGACTCCTCACAATAAGTGAAAATCAGCGAAGGAGCGACATTATGTGTGTGTGTGTGTGTGTGTGTTTGTGTGTATATCTCAGGCCCTTGTGCTTGCCAGGGAAGTGCTTATTCCACTGAGCCATCTCCCTGGCCCCAGTATTTATATATATTTATATATATTTTACGGCTTTGTAAACTCTTCCCTCACTCCTATAAACCTTTTCCACACTTTTAAAAACACTTCCAATGGTCTGAAACTTCCAGTAATCGTGAGCTAAATAAACCTTTCCTTCCTTCAATTCGGGTATTGGGTATTTGTCCCAGCAATGAGAGAAGAGTAACTAAGACACACTTTTTCCTTCTTTTCTTATTTGTACACTATGTGATATTGTTCAATCATCATGAATGTAAGTTTATAAAAACCAGCATGAATTTTATAGTTTTTGGTTATTTAGTCCTTTTAATGAATTTTCTCTCACTTGAAATGTGATAGATAAATAAATAAATACATAAATACACTTCCAGTGTTCTTAAACATTTTCTAAACTTGTAAACCCACGTAATTTTAACAACATATATATATACTGTACAGTACTGCAAAATCCCACGATATAGTGAAAAATCCATGATAAATATAGATTAATACATTTTGAAAACCCGCAAAACAGTGAGTCCACAAAATCGAACCATGAAGTAGCGAGGGACTACTGTAATTACTCTCTTTCTCTTTATAAGTAGAGAATACAGCATTTTTTTCCCCTCTCAATTGTAAAATCTAACCTAAAGTGACACATTTACAAAAAGAATGAATTTTTTCTCCTTAATGCAACATAAATAAATTTTATTATGCACAGTTAATAAATATTATAAACGCTGAAATGTTTCACAAACGAAAAGCCTACTAGTCCTTGGGCCAAGAAGAGAGTAAGTAATGCACAGTAATGCGCTGGTGATCTGCTCAGTTTTAGAGGATGTCAGACTACTAATTTTCAGTCTGTTTACTCCTTGAAGGAAATGGTGAATTAGTGTCCCTTTTCATCACTTGGCTGAACTGTCTAAATATTTTTAAAATATCTATCCACATCAAGCACTGGATACAAGCCTAGGAAAACAAAGCTGAAAGGTGTATTCCTAATCTTAAGAATGTTCATGGTCTTAGTTAACAAGTTAAAGGAAAGAAGAAAAAGGGGAAAAAATTTTTATACTTGCTAGTAGAAGGGAAATAGCATTGGGTTAAAACAGTCAAGGTAATTCTACATTAAGCAAAGGAGTAATTAAGTTTATCTGCCTAAAGTTTTGTATCTATTTTATTGTAGCATTGCAGATATCACAACTTCCTTTTTGCTAGGCTTGCAAAGAAGTTCTTAGAAATGCACTGCTTTACTAATTGGCTGGGATTTATTACAGTGGGATTTAGACACCCCAAGCACAGAAAACGAAAAACTAGAAATCACAAGCCATTTACAATCCTCTCGGTGAGTTGTATCTGAAGTGCTAATTTCTACCCAACAGGCAGATTTCTTACAGCACATTACTTCCAGAGCATATGCCTGCTTGTAGGGTCAGCTCATAAAGTACCCTAAGTTAAATCCTAAGTAACAGCTGACAGTTTGCTCTACAGGCAAGGCAACTGCAAAGACAGAGTAAGGGGGCTGGGGAGACAGCCTGGCAGGCTAAGTGCCTGTCTGGCAAGCACAAGGATCCACGTTTGATCCCTGGTACTATGGGCTGTGCCAGCCCCGGAACCCCAAAACCAGGGGTGGTGGTACACCCCTATAATCCCAGTGCTGAGCAGTCTGAGACAGGAGGATCACTAAGAGTCCGAGCTGTGTAGTGAGACCCTATACCAAATAAATAAATATAAATGTTAAAGATAAAAAAAGACAAGGTAAGAATATGGCATGGTCTCAGAAGATGCGCATGTATACAACACAAGAAGAAAGTTCATATTATAGTTACACAGTTTTACACATGTGTGTAGAATAAGGACCAAGACACAAAATCCTTTTTAGAAAGTGGTGGACTCACCAGCTGCCTCCGGTTTTTCTTCCAGGTTTCTGCTTTCCTCTTTGAGTTCATGTTCTGGAATGCTAATTTCAACAAGACAGAATAGTAACCATGAGAGAAGAATTTACCAGAGGACAAAAATCACATATATCCATCTGAAGCACACGAGTAAATTTAGAGAATGGGAAGAAGGTGAAATAAAATATTCAGTTCTTAACATATGGAACTAAACAAACTATAGTATAGTATTTTAATAAAGAAAAAACAGCAAACCTACAGAAGTCACTTGGTGGGTTGTGAGTGAGATTTCTGTAGAATTCAGTTCTGTGAGCTTTCTTTAATCCCGTGCATAAACCAAAATCAGATAATTTTACATGTCCCTAAAAAAATTACAGTAAAATCAGATTATTTATGCATAGCAAATACTTCAAAACAGGAAGATATGATTCAAATGGGAGCCTGGAAGGGGAGGGGGAGGAAAGAAGGGAAAAGAAATTAAAATGAGAAAAGCAGCACAAAATGGAAACAAAGCTTTTATAAATAAGCAAGGGAAGAGGGAGGGGTCAAAGGGAGGGGAGAGGAATGGCAGAAAAGAAGAATCAAGATGGATCATACACAGGCATAAATTCCTTACGATGAACGCGATCATTATGTATCTAAATTGTACCAATAAATTTAATTTTTAAAATCAAACCATTTTAATTTTGAAAATCAAAACCTTATTACAAACTCCTTTCAAATGAAGCTTTTATAAAAAGTCTTAGCCTAGAATTCATAGGGATAAAAATGTAAAATTATAAGTATTTTAGAGTAATGATTTTTGAGTAGAAAATGCAGAAATAAAGACAGACACGTCCCCAAGTCATTTTATTGCAGTGTCCTCTCCCACTATACCATTCCATGAAATACTGTATTTGAGCAATAAATGATGTGAATTGTAGTTATCCATTTTCAATCATAAAAGATACTCTGTTATAAAATAAAAATCAACAACCTCACAATTCACTAGTTTATTCACGTGCCTTGGCATCCAATAAAAGGTTGTCTGGCTTAATATCCCGATGGATGAAACCCAACTGGTGGATTGCATCTATGGCCAGAACCGTCTCTGAAATGTAGAACTGTGTTTCCTCTTCCGTCAAGGTATCCTTCTTCATTAACAAGGTCATCATGTCACCTATGTAAAGGAAGTGTTATGTCACTAACAGCACTCCAAGGCAGAACGTATTGTGCAAACCTTTGTGTTAGGGTAACAAATGACTGACCGGCATGCCTGCCCACCCAGTACATCGCTGAACATCTACGGGACCAGGTAAGTGTCAGCATCACTGCACACGCAAAGGTTTCAGGACATGTAATAGCTTAGGGTAAAAGTAAGCCAGAAAGATACACACCAAACTAAATTTATTCATCATTGCTCAGCTAAGAGGTAAAATATAAACTTATAGATTTGCTGTATTTTTAAAAATCACATAAACTATATCAAACTATGATTCTACAGCGTGCTTCATTTCACCCCCGTCTCATTTTGTGACTTGTAACTGCTGCGAAGTATTTCGTACTGATGAGTACTGGTCCAGATCCACTTTTCCACTAAATGCCAGCGTGCAATGAGCGTTCTCTCACAGCCTCTTGTCCTTGTGAGCCACGTCTCCAGGGAACACAGCTGAAAAGTAGGAGCTGGGCCACAGGACACATGCTCTTCAGCCTCGTGGGAGGCTATGTAGCATACCTCTCTAGGGTAGACTCTATGAAAGCTAAGGTCTGTCGACAAAAGGCCAGTGTCCCCCAACACCTGACCAATACTCAACATCATCTGATTTCAAGGGATCTGATGATCTGAGTGTAAAATATCTTTTGATATGCATTTCCCTGACTATTAGTGAAATTGAACATTTCCCATCATCTGGTTATTTTTCGGAAGTACTGAAGATTGAATGCAGGGGTGCACTACCATTGAGCTACATCTCTAGTCCTCTTCATTTTTTGAGAAATATCAGTAATGAGCTGATGCTGGCCTTGAACTTTCAATCCTCCTGTCTCATCTTCCTGGGTAGCTGGGATTATAGATATGTTCCACCATGTTTGGCTAAACATTAGGTTTTTGCCTTTTTGTTTATTGTCCTATATTTTTTTAACTCCATACTAATATACAATCTAATTGGTTACAGTAAACCCAGAATGGTAACCCTGGCATTATTAAAGAAATAAATACCAAAAAACTATCACTGTATAAAACCTCAGAGTGTCTGTCATTGCTATAACATTTTCTTTTACCTCCAGGGAGAAATTCCATGATTAGATAAAGGTTCCTCTTATCCTGAAAACTGTAAAACATCTTCACCACCCAGGCACCATCTGCTTCTACCAAAATATCTCTTTCTGCTCGAATATGTGCCACCTAGATGAATATATTTTGAAAGAAATAATTGTAACACATTATATAGGTTTCAAGCTTACTTCTTACAATTATCCACCCATCACATAAATTTAGGACCCCAGTCTGACTTAAATGTATTACATAATGTTCTGTAAATTAACATGACAAAGCCAACTTTGCTAAAAACAGCAATTATTTTTAGTTAACTTCACAAAGGGTCCAGTTTTCTACTTTTTTAAAAATAGGAACATTTACAATAACTACAGTATTTTAAGTTACTGTTATAATGTAAACCTCTATGATATATGCATACACATTAGCTACAGCAAATTACTGTAATTTTGAGGTTTGAGCACTACTTTGTCAGACATATAATTGCTAGGGGTACTAGTATATAAACACTACAGTCTGGAAAGTTTTCAGATGCTTTTGAATGAATACAGTTACATGTTCATTTCAAACATTAGTCAGCAAGATTTCACTTTGTGCTCTGTTATTTTCTTTGGAGGGGGTGAGGGTACCAGGAACCGAACTCAGGACCACATGCTTGCCAGGCAGGTGCTGTGCCACTGAGCTAAATCCCCAGCCCCACTTTGTTATGTTCACTGTACAACATTTTGAACCCTGGCCCAAAGAATGTGACTGGAAACCATTTCAGGATAATAAAATCTGACCTGCTTGATGTACCATTCTGTGGATTGCTATACTATTGCCTGGTGCAGCAAACGTTCCAAGATGAGAGCAAAAGGTGAATAAGTACGAACTTGCTTTTTGGCTTCAACACATTTTACAATCTCTCAGGATCTGCTTCATTAAGTGAAAATTCAAACAAAAATGGCTTCCTATTGCTTTTTGCAACTTTTGAGATTGTAAATAATAAACTCTGAACTTCTTGGGTTTATGTCAGAAACTTGGCCTGATTGTTCCTAAACACCTTAAAGACAGACTGGAGAATGTATTTCCAAAAGGGAGCCAAAGGCTGGCAAGGATACCATGCAATATGGTACCACAATAGATGCTAATTAATTCTATGGAGTGTTCTTCATTACAATACATATGATAAAACATCAGTGCATTAAAATTGCATGGAAAAGGGTTTCAAAAATGAAATTCAGTGGTGACAAATGCAGACTAGTCTATGCTGGGATAGATTTCAAACTGTGCAACTGACAGAAGGCCATGTGCCATGGGGAGATGGTGCCCACGTGGACTGAGCAGGGATCCAGATGCTTCTTGGCCTCTAGCTAATATTCTACTCGGGACCAGGGGTGTCCAACACAGACATAATGCAAATCCTGTATGTGACTTTATGCTCAACTACCACATAAAATGCCAAAAGAAGCGGGAGATTAATTTCAACAGTATTATGTAGCCCAATATATCCAAATATCAATTCAATGTGTAATCAATATAAAAAAATAGAGATGCTTCGCATATTTTGGGGCCTAGGTCCTCCTTTGCTGTTTACATTCACAGCACACTCCAACCCTTAATGGGTACATTTCCAGAGCCCACTGGCCACATGCGCTAAGAGCTGGACTTGCACTAACTGCTGCCTTCTGTCCTCCTCCTAAAACCCTGTGTAGGCTGATCTATCACATGGTGGCTGAGTAAGGCTCCACTTACCTCCTTTCCTCTGAGGCTACTATCTTCACCCAGCACCTAACTGTGATAATTATTTCTGATTGTCTAATCCAACTCAACAGCTCAGCTTTCCACGCCTTCAGAACCTCTTTGCTCTGGGATCAGATTGTCATCAACAGAGTCCCCTATAATCTCATCTCTGAATGGTTTCTGTCCCCTTCTTCCAAAACAGAAGCTAGCGTGAAAACCACACCCATACCGCCAGGTTTCACTCTGAATCCATGGCTGGGCATCTTGACTGGCGCTTCACTAACGAGTCTGCTTTCTCCCACTTTAAGACACCCACCTCATAACTTGGCCATCCCGCCCTACTCCACACAGGAACAGGGAACCTTCCGATGCCAGGTTAACGCCCCTACATTTGTGTCTAGTCTCTGCATTTCCTTTGTTTTAGTAAGTGGACTCCTGCTCCTGTTTTCTAGTATTTTGCTGTAATTATCTCCTTTCTTTCCTTATCTTCTCCTTCTGGTTTCTAGCAGATTCTTCCTGTCAAAAGTAAAACAGTTCTTGTCTTTAAAGAACCTCCTTTAGACCGTAATTTTTACTCTACCAATCTATCCTTTTTTCTGCTTCATATGAAAAATGTACCTATAGCTAATTCCTCTACATTTTGCTTTCTGTTCTCTTTTCCACCATTCCAATTAGCCTCTTTCCTGACAATCTATTATAACTATCTTGCCAAGATGTTTGGTTCTCTGCCTTGAAAATCCAATGGCCTGTCTTACTCAGTCTCAGCAGCACTATACTTCACGGCTCACCACCTCCTTTCTAAACACTGTGTCTTCCATGACGCCATGTTCTTCCCACTTCCCTGTCTGATAACATGCTGTCTCTGGATCACCTCTGTCTGCTGTTCCCAGGGCCACCTGCAACTGTTCCCTAGGTAATTTGATCTGGTCCCACTCCCGTCTCCTCATCTTCCTCTTCTCATTACTCTTGCCCCTCCTCTCACCCTACAACAGTTTATCACAGCAAAGCCTGTTAACGGTGCCTTCCTATTTTTTTTTTTTTAACTTTTCTTCAACTTTACTGTTGTAAGCAAAGCAAAAGCCACAATTACATCCTAGCTGTAAATGGCACTCTCCACTAGTCTCCCTGCTTCAATTCTTGTTTTATCTATAGACTGCAACAGATTTATTACTTAAAATTTTCAATTTAAGCACTTAATCTAAAACCTAGTCAGAGATGCCCCTTTGTACTGCACATGTGGAAGACTCATACCTGCTCTTTTTCAAGCATATCAGCTTTTCTCAGTATCTTCATTGCATAGATATGGCCTGTGTCTTTCTTCTGGACCAGCCGTACCTAGGATAAAAAATTTATTAAACTGTCTAGATTCTACACTATACACTCAAGAGTGAAAAGTATGCTGCTTTAAAAAGCTAGAATTTCCCACTGGGATTACCTTAAGAAATGTATTTTAATACATATTTTAAACTATTTTAAGACATACACATTTGATCATGGTAAACTTAAAAGCTCACCTCTCCAAAAGCTCCTCTTCCTATAACTTTCAGAGATTCAAAATCATCCAGGCCAAGCCTGGTCCTCTTGAGCCGTAAGAACTCTGTTTCTTTGCGAGCATGTTGTGATCGGCGTAACTTTTTCTAGTAAAAGGATTTAAAGGATGATCTTATAGTCAGATGTTTTAAAGACACTCACGCGTATTAGAGATTATACTCGTACTATAATTTATTTATCAAAGTATTAAGCACAGAAAGAGTAGCCCTAAGAAAATATTTTTAAAAATTAATAAATCTTTACCCTTGAAGTAGACTCCAATACTACAACCTAAATAATTCATGATTTATAAATAAAATTCTTTCATTTCTATGCTAACTTCACAATAAATGAATTAGAGCATCATATGCATTTGTAATTCATGTACAAAAATTAAACTTTTTGACAATGCTAGTAGAATCCTGATATTGATGAGGAAATCTACTCTGCTTCCACTCTAATTTCCAACATTGCGCCATTACAACCTGAGACCTGTGACACCAAAAATCACACAATGGCAGTGTCTCCCTAGAGATGTGTTTATGGTAGCATTTAAAAGCAAATCTTACGATAGACTTTACTCTTACATAAATTTTAATAAACTGCTAGACATTTGGCATACAACTTCTTGAAAAGGCAAAGGATAAAAATCCATAATTAAAGGAGCCAAGTCAGTAACTATACAATTGATCCTACAAAAATCTCACACACAGAAAAGCCCTACTAATAATGAGCTACATTCTGAAATATCTGAAGGTGCCAAATATTTCATTTGGCATATGCATTTATTTCATTACTCCAATTTTTCCCGTCATCAACTCTTTGTTTTTGTTGTTTTTTCTCCCTGTGCTAGGGAGCAAACCTAGGACCCCACACATGTTAGGCAAGCTCTCTATCACTGAGCTACAGCCCTAGATCTTTTCATTTTTATTTTTAGATAAGGTCACATTAAGTTGCCTAGGCTGGCCTTGAACTTGTGATCCTTCTACTTTTGCTTCCTGAGTAACTGGGATCACAGGCATGCACTACCGTATCTGGCTTTTATTTTTTAATATACTTAATTCCTAGAGATCACAGAGAGAACTAAAGGAAACAGAGTAGGAAATATACAAACTAAACTCTTACTCATCTCCAGATGAACCTTATAAAGCTTGCAATGGTTTATCTCAGAAGGCAAGGTGAGTCAAAAGGACCCTACCAGCTCAAAAATACTGCTCTAAAGGCAGCTCTAGGGATAACCATTAAACTGCCCTTCCTACTTCTGTATTTAGTATTATTTTTTGGAACAGGGTCTGGCTACATAGTTTGGACTCATAGTGATCTGTCTCATCCTCCCCAGTGCTGGGATTATAGGCACCATGCCTGGTTCTGGGCCTGGCACAGCATGTAGTACTGGGGATCAAACTCGAAACTTTGCACTTGCCAGACAGGTGCTTATGCCACTTAGTTATCTCCCCAGATCTCTGTATTTTTAAAAGTTAGATTAATTAGAAATATGTATATGTATATCATCATTTTATACAACGGAATTCCGATACCTCTAGCCAAGTTAATCTAAGAGGATAAAATCAAGAAATTATATCTTTAAATATATTGGAAATTACACACCCAGGCATATCAGTGGTAGAAATTATGACAGCATAAAAATAAAGGTGAAGTGTGCAAGTTAAAAAGCTTTAACAAACCTGATGTTGATTACAAAACAACAATATTATGAAAATTATACTCAACAATGAAGACTTTTTTTGGTAAGAAGTCATGCAATAAAAGAAACTAGCTAAAATAAAGATATAGTAATTATTGCTGTTTACCAAAAAGCTATACTGATCTAGTAGCTGTGTACTAGTTTAAAAACAAATTGCCCTAATGATGAGATTAGGGTCACTTCAATCTTTTAATATCAGATTAACACAGATAAAATTACATTTGTATAATTATAAAAACAAAGATGGACCCTAACTGTGAGGATCATTTTGGCTTCTTTCTACATCAGTGGAATAGCAGCACCCTTTTTGAAACAGGAATTCAACAATATGTCAGTAATTTAGAAAATCTGAAATAACAGTAACATAAAACAGTCCACCCAAAGTTTTAAATTTTAAGACTTATTTTAAAGGCCACTGGGTGGCACTACAATGCCATGTCCTTTATAATAGTCAAGAGGTATTTAAATTTTTTTAAATTACAAAAATGAATGTGACAATTTTTAAAAAACCATTCTGAATCTCTCCTTTCGTGGGTTCTAAAACAGTCATCTTAGTGTGGCTGCATTAACAAAGATGATTCATTCATTATACAGAATTGCAACAAAGGCCTTAAAATGTACAGACCAATCACACACTGTCGCCCCACAAAAAAAGTTCACTAAATATCTGATAGGCTGCAAAATACCACAGGAAGAAAGGCCCACATAGTTCTGGACATTGCTACTTAATAACAGGGGATCACAGAAAATGAGACACATAATTTTACAGTGGGAATTACTACAATATTATTATATTACCTCAAAAACATCTATTCCATGACTAAGTCCAGTGTTGTAATACAGAACAGCTAAGAGCAAGTTAAAAGAAAATCCATGTAAAACACACATCTTGCACAGTTTAAGTAGTCTTGAAAGGCAAGTATTACCCTTTCCTCTCCAAAGAAGCAACAGCATCTGTGGGCACACGTCACTTGTTTGGCTGTGTTTCTGCCTGTGTTGCAGGACTGAACCCAGGGTCTTGTGTGTGCTACTCAAGCACTCTACCACTGAGCACCATCTCCACTCTTTCATTGCTCTCTTTTGTAACTTAAGTTTGACTAGTTTGGTTTTCCACTACAGTAAGTAATAGTACATGTTTGGTGAGATTTTGTTGAGATAAGAGTAGGTATTTTCTTCTTCTTTCCACTCATTTTAAATGGGCCTTCCTCAAACTCTCAGTATGCAGGGCGCCCAGTTCTATGTAAGACAGTGCATAGTAAAGTTACAATATGAAAGGACTCACCTAGCAACTTTATCTCAGGATATGGACACAGTGTCTGGTTAAAGTTTTCATAATTCATTTCCATAAAGTACTTCCAAATCATTTTCTACTACAGAATAAGTTAGTGTCATTAAATAACTACACTAAAAACCACCCCACATAAGGTTGTTCCAACATTTTTTTTTTAACATCTTATATTAAGGTTGGGAGTGTTTGTCTACTGTTCTAGAGTAACATCATCCAGGACTCAGCATGGACACTAATAATATGCATGTGCAGAAACAAAAATATTTTCACAGGAACAATGTGGAAGTTTAACAAATAGGTACTATTAGCCAGATAATTTTTAGGGGAAAATCTTTTCACATTATATACAAATTATTTAGAATAATAATAATAAAAAAAAATAGTTCCACTTGCCCTTAGTACTTGCTAATGCAAACCAGGAAGTGAAAACAGGAAGCTACAAGCTGTATTCAACCTACAGATACTTTTGATTCGGACTGCAATGGTTTTTAAAACATCCCAATTTATTTGCAAATATTTTAAAAAGCAGATTGTTCACATAAAAATCCAAATTCCCAGCTCTTCTATTTTTGTTTTTCTCCTTCTTGTGGTACCCAGGGCCTTCCGCTGAGCTACAACCTCCGCACCCTCTCGCATAGGGCCTCAGTGAACGGCTGCACTGCCGAGGCTGAGCTGGTGGTCCTCCTGCTTGGGCACAGTCCTGGGATTACAGGGTGGACTAGCCAGGCCTTGGAGAGCAGTGCCGTAGCACACTGGGCCACAGTGGCCACTATCTTCAGCTTCCACCAAAGATACCAGTCACTAGCAACAGGTCTAAGTGAGCCAGGTTCTAGTCTTCCTTCCTTCCTTCCTTCCTTCCTTCCTTCCTTCTCTCTCTCTCTCTCTCTCTCTCTCTCTCTCTCTCTCTCTCTCTCTCTCTGTCTGTCTCACTACACAGCTCTGACTTGTATAATCCTCCTGTTTTCAGCCTCCCCAGGGCTGGGATTACAGGCGTGCGCCACCACGCCCAAACTCAGTCACCTTCAGCACACCCAGGGGTAGGGCTGGCACAGCATGCAGTACTGAGACCAAACCCTGGTTCCTGTGCTGGCCTAAGCCAGTGGCTTCGGCCATGGAGCTATCTCACTGGCCCTCAGGCTCCTGCTTATAGTATAGAGTGAAGAATGGTAGGTCTTTATCAAGAGATAAACTGTGAGATCAAATATTTTAGGAAAAGGTAAAGGAAGAATCTATTTTGTTGAAGAAGTAAAAAAACAAAAATTACAAGTTGGGGGCCCAGGAGATGGCTCAGTAGAATAAGCTCTTGCCTGGCAAGTGCAAGGGCCTGAGTTCAATACCTGGATCCACAAAAAAATAAAATAAAATAAAAAAATAAAAAAATTACAAGTTAGTTATACAAACAGAACATATCTTAATCAAAAGAACAGAAGCTAAAATAACATCATGAAACCAGCCTGGCCATGTATTCCTCAATACTAAGGCTGTGCTGGAATCTACTTGGTAATCCCCCTAAGTCCAACTAAAATCTTATGTTTAAGGTTTCTACATCAATGGAACTGTAATTATGCAGTTATTGGACATTACCTTTCTCACTAAAATTTAAAGGCAAAATGCAATGAGCTTTTAAAATATTACACGATTTTATATTCTAAAAAATTGTTGACTGTTTAATATTAATTGTAAAAATCTAAATGTTCAAATTTGAGCTTTCTAGATTGAGTCAGGTGATTAACAAAGCTACCACTCTTGGTAAATGATAAAATACTTTTATATCTGACTTAAATATTGCAACTATAAAGATAGTACAAACCTAGGAAAAGTAAAGGGAAGACTAGAGAACAAGCTTGATCTCAAATCACTTGGTGGTCTATTCTTTATAAAGAAACTCCTTGTCGATCACTGGAAACTACATAATCTAGGTTTATAGGTTTCCAAGACCTAGAAAATAAATACTTTTCTTAGTAAATTGTTTTAAACCTAGCTTTTCACTGGTACTGTCAAATTACCTTGTATTTTCTTTACTATCCCCTTTATAGCTAAAATGAAAAAAAAAAAATTTTGTATTTTTTGTGGTGCTGGGGATTGAACCATCCATGCATGCAAGGCAAGAGCTCTACCACTGAGCCACATCACCTGCCCCTCAAATGCAAATAGTCATTATTACGCATATATGTACTCATTACTTCATATATAGGCCTTTTTCTCCTTGTACCCTTTTCTCTGGGGATTAAACACAGGGCTTCATACACACTACATAAGTATTTCAAAACTGAGCTATAACCTTAGCCCTTTTTAAAATTTTATTTTGGCAGAGACTCTCACTAAATTGCCTTGGCTGGCCCTAAACTCGTGATCTTCCCACATCAGCTTCTTAGGTAGCTGAGATTACAAGTATGCACCAGCAGGCCTGGCTCCTCACCTGTTTTGTTTCTGAAGTACTAGGAGTTGAATCTAGGTCCTTTGCACTGATTTTTAGATAGGGTCTTGTTGAGTTGTTGGCTTGGCCAGGCTAGACTCAAACCTGTGATCCTCTTGCCTCAGCCTCCCAGAGTGCTAGGATTATAAGCACACTCCATCATGCCCAGCTAAAAAATCTTTTAATTTTTTTTTTTTTTTTTTAAGTAGTGGGGATGGAACCCAGAGCCATTCACATGAAGCACTCTACCAGAGAGCTAGTCCCCACCCCACTTACTTTCATACAATAATTATAGGTAATTACATTACCTCTTCATCTGCTAATCCTTCTTCTTCCATAGCCACTTCTAATTTCTTCTGCCTTTGCAATGGAAAAAATAAATACATTTTTAAGTACATTATGTTCCTAACTATTCCCATTTAAGAAATACACATTTTTTTAAAATTCAAGTTAACCAGGAACTCACTAATACCAGTCAAGCAAGCTACCACTGAGTTATAGCCCTAGTCTAAAGCTCCACTGCTACATTACTTCACTTGCTTGCCTAAATGATTCTCAATATGTATAACAGAAGTATGAAAAGTAATGATGATAAAAGTATATGTTTGTAAAGCAGCTATCCCTGTTTGAAGCCTGGTCTTAATGCTCACTAGCCAAAAGAGCTTTGGTTAGTCTGTCACTTTGAGTTCAATTCTCCTGATGAAGAAACGATGTACAGGGCTGGCGAGATAGCTCAACAGACTAAGCACCTGCTTAGGCAAGCACACAGACTGGGGTTTGATCCTAGGCACAACATGCTGGGCCAGCCCCCACCTTGGGCATGCTGAGCTGGCCACCGAGTCCGGGCATGGTGGCGCGGGCCTGTAATCCCAGCACTGGGGATGGCTGAAAACAGGACCATCACTATGAGTTTGAGTTGCATAGTGAGAGCCTGTAGCAAACACATTAAAAAAAAAAAAAAAGAAAGAAAGAAAGAGAGAGAGAGAAAAACATATGGCATTTTTTTCCTTGGTTCTCTCCTACTTTATGCTCCTATAATGATCCAATTCTTTCCAAAGACTTTAATTACATTTATGGATATATATAGCTTTATATCTAACTTATTTGTAATTTCAATTTTTCAATTTTTGGTAATTCAGCCTTTCTTTTCTATTCTGTTCTTCTGAACTGATTTTTTTCCTCATGCCATCTTTTCCTCTTCTCCTTATTTGGAAGTTACCAACTATATATTTTTATTATTTTAGTGATATCCTAGAAATTAAAATTATATCCATATTTGTCAAACTTTGAAGTACCTTTACTCTCTTTTTTTCTTTTGTGAAGGTGGTACAGGTTACAAGAGCACTCTAGAACTGACCTATAACCCCAACCCCATTTCTTCCCCTTCTACAAGGGTCCTTCACAATATTTTAACTCCAATTACTTCGCTCTAGGCTTAAGAGTACTGCTGGACAGTATTTTAATTTTAAGAGGCAGACTCATAGCTTAGCAACAAGCACACTACAGGGGGTCAGCAGTCTTCCCTCATGGTGGCCTGGGAGCTTCAGTCTCTGCCACTGCCAGGATCACCAAAGCATCACAACACAGATCACCAGGCTGGGAAAGGCTTGAAATTCCCAAACCTCGAGTTTCTACTAGGTAGCTATCCACCTTTGCAGGATCATAAAACTGAACAATTGTAAGTTAAACTATCGTAAGTCAGAGTGTCTATAATTTTTGAGATACTCCCATGTGTTTACAATTTAGATCTCCTATTTTTGATCATTTTCCTTCTGCCTAAATTGAGCTTTCTGAAACTTCTGCTGGGACTAATTTTGGTCTGCCTATGCCCATTCTCACTTCTCGCTTCCTTTCTGAAGTATATTTCTTGGTTTACCGAATTGAAGAGTGTGTTAGAGTACAAAGTAGGTGAGTGCTCTCACACTTTAGTAACTCTTAATTATAGCCATGTCTTCACTGTTCTCCATGTTTCTTAGCTCTCATTATTTCCATTGTCTCTCTAAGCTGGTTTTTAGGTTTTATTTTCTAATTCACTAACACTCTCCTCAGGTATAGTTAAGTTTGTCTAAAACTGTTTATTTTATAGTCTTGTTTCACAGAAGTACATCATTCTTAGTTTGCCAAGGTATGACATTTCTGGGCCAGTATAGATTTATTTGTCTCATATTTTATCTCTGGCTAGTTGCCACATTTTGCCAATCTTACTTGTCAGTTCTTCTCTACTGCTATTGTCAATCCTGTGTGGTACTGGGGATTGAATTCAGGAACTTGCATATGTGAGGCAAGCACTCTACCACTGAGTTACATCCCCCAGTATCATCAATCCTAATTTAAGCCCCTTTCCATTTGCCTAGAGAATCACTAGCCTTTCCTGTTTCTAATTCCCTGTATCTCCAAATTCCTTTTATGTATCAAAATGAAAGATCTCTTCCAGAGAAACACAATCACCTAATTCTTCAGCTTTACAAACCTCCAGTCTTCTAATACCATGAGAATAGCTACATTAATATAGCTCCCAGAGCTCCCACAATACTGACATTTAGCACATCCTGTGCCATAGCTAAACCAGACACTGATGAACCTAAGGGTGATTTCTTCTATCTCTAACATCCGTCCTCCCATTCATCGACCTTGAACCTGTTTAAATGCCACTATTATTTAAGAACTATTCCCAGTTACCTTAGTCAAAAGCAATCTCTCCCTTCTTTATCCTTGTTTTAGTGACACATTTCACTCTTTCATACAGTATTTAGGTGCATTATCTCCTTTATCATAACTTTCATGAAGGCAAAATAACATGCCATTCTTATTTTCTCTTTCATTCTCACAGATATACTGGAATAAAGGCAGTTGTCTGTAAAGCACTCCTCTAAAAACTGTGTAAAGATATATCATAATGACATAGTTGGACAAGGTTCATCTAAAATAGGAACTGATGTGATAAAGTATGTGTGCGCACAAGACTTTGGGTAGCACAGAGAATTAGTCTGTAAAGCAAAGTAGGAACATGGAGAGCAAGAACCCTAACACAGCATGCAGGGGCCACTTATATATACATTATTACTGGAAAACACATTTACAGTTCACTCACTGCATGCTACTTTAACAAAAGCTTGATCAGCCTTTCCTATACCTGGTTTCTCTCTCTTCATGCTGTAAAATTAGGTTGCTGTAAAAATTCTCCAATGTGAGCTTGGCTACAGTCACTCTTTCTCGGGTATGGTTGCTCATAGGAAAAGTGGTTGTGGTCCCTGCCGTCATGGCCATAGTAACAGAAACTGAAATGACATATTAAAAACAAATTAATCAACTGAAAAAAAGGTATCCCTCATAAAAAATATCTGAAAATGTTTAATTTCTATTAAGAAAAGTTCTATCCAACAGTTAACATAGACTTCTAATATTATAATACTTACATTATAATACAAAGCTAATGAACAGAAAAGATGTGCTATTCCCAAAACAAGAGAAATTAATCTTATAATGGTAGAACCAGGAGTGAATTATAGTAACAACTACCATGGGTAATCCACATGTACACAGATACACAAACACAAAATTTCATATTCAATAGCATTTAGAACAAAAAAAATGCTTAATCCATTTATTGATTTATTGGTTACTAAATGAAAGTTACAAGATGCTGCCTAAACTTAAAGTTATTTCCATGATAAATGCATCCTAACAGTTAAAGCAATTTACATAATAAGAAGTAGTTCCTCTCATATACATTCTATGAAATATGAATTATGTATTAAATATATAATCAAGGATTAATCTAAAGAAATCAGTATTGGTAGATGCTACAGGAGAAAGTAGTGTTAGAAATCAGCCCTTTTTCATGGGCTCATAACTTCCCTCTTCACTCTGTATTTTATAGTGCTGTTATTCCAGACAGCACTACAAAAAAGTAAAAAATCTAAACACTTGTCCTTAGAATCAGTGTAATAAAAACGTGAGGGAATAAAAGACAGGCTTTTGTAAATGTGGCTGTCTTGGTTACTCTCCTCTCATGGCTGGGATAAATACCTAACACTCAAAATTAGGAAAGGAAAGGTTTATTGAGCTCACAGTTACAGGTTTCAGTCCATGGCTGATGGCAGCAGTTCATGGCAGCGGCAAAGAGCAAGAGCAAATGGGAGGAGCAGCAGCGACAAGAATGGCTACAGAGAGCAAGTCTGTCTCTCTTATGTTGCATTCAGGCTATCCGCCCCAGGCTGGGTGCAGTACTCACACCCATAATCCCGGTGGATCACGAGTTGATCACAAACCCTAGAAGTCCGCCCCATGACTGCATGAGGCTCTGGGGGACAACTAGACACAAGCCATAACAGTGGATGAGGGCACACACAGATCACTCCAGAGAAGACACCACTTGCCCCAATTGGCCACCCAACGCCATGCTCTTAGCCAAAAGGCACTCCTCACATCTCTAGCAGCCCACCCCCTACATCTCCTCTATCTTATTACATGAAGACAAAAAGCCCTGTATGTGAATCGACTCAAGGGATAGTAGAATGAACTAAATGATCTTTCATTTTCTCACTGTCAAGCAAGTCAAGTGCAGATTAAAATTAAGTAACTCATATTTGATGTATTGCATGAACATTAAACTTATATGAAACCGAATTTATTGTTTTGATGTTAGAAACTCGTTCCTTTTCACATTATTTTAAATCTTGTCATCTCAATAAGCTGACTGTATCATTTGTTGAAACTCTTTCTGGGCTACCCCTTGCCAAAGCAAGTCAAATTAGTATGATTAAAAGGAAAAGTATCAAGCCAGGCATGGTGGCACGTGCCTATAATTCCAGTTTTCAGGAGTCTGAGACAGCAAGATCCTTAAGAGTTTGGGACAACCCTGGGCTACAAACTGAGTCAAGGCCAGCCTAAACGGCATAACATCTCAGGGAAAAAAAAAAAAAAAAAAGGACCACTCACATACTCTTAGTGTATCTCAGGATCTTTCTGATACTTTATTCTTTGATTTCCTCCCCTTTTTTGTCCCATAAACTTAAGATAGTAGCATGTCGCATTTTGTCCTTATAGCAGCCCTGCAAAACAGGGAACTGAAATTGGAAAAGTTGCATAGCTAGTAGGCTGGGGATGGTGAGCCTTTTAGAGCTTTCAAAGGTACAAACAGCCCACTATAGCATGTGCGCCAAAGGTTTACACCCCTGTAGTGGGCTATAGAGTCAGGGCTCCAGCCTGCCTTTCTAGCTTCTCTGCTACCCTTCCTCACCACTCTCATGTACCAACATCTCTGAGGCATGTTTGCGCCCTCTGCTGACCTGAGCTACCTACCCCAACCTGCATTCTCAGTTTGCAGAGATCCTTTGGGGCCCAATTTAGGCACTGGTGCTGATCACTTCAAGCACCCATTCCTCTAAGCTGGGAGCAGCTCTGGGTGAGAACATCTATTTTCTGGTTTGTTTTAACATCCACAACAGCAACAGCAGTAGACACTAATGAGCAAATGAGACCACCTACCATTGCAGAATTCAGGAGACACTCCAGTAAGAGCAACTTGGTTCTTAGAAGTCACTTGGCCATTGTCATTCATGAGTTTCTTTTTTATTTATTGTTTTAAAAATAATATTCATTAAGCATTTGGAAAATTGAAAAAATACATTAGGTCCCTAAAGTAATGAATGAGTTTGTCTAAATCATTGTCACTTCCTTGTTTTTCCTTGTTCTCTTGGATAACCTAGGCCAGTGTCTCAGCACAATCCAATTCTGAAAGCTACTTTAATCTACTCCAGTTCACAAAAGGCAAACAAAACAGAATAACAAGTTATTGATTCACTCACTAAGAAAGCAAGTAACAAAGAACAGACACTTGCATCTTATGGGAAACGACTTCTACCTTTACAGGAAGTCTTAATTAGGATTCAAAGACTGCCTGTAAGAGCACCACTCCTAAGAGAACTTACTCAATTTAAATGTTTAATGGCAGCAGGATAAGGTGGAATCCTAAGGTAAAATAAAAATGCATCGTGCTTAGGGGGAAAAAGGCCCTTGGCCCCTGGGAAGGGGCTGGAGAACGTAAGGGATGCTAGAAGGCTCCGCTGTAGCCAGGCTTTCCCAAAAGAAGGAAGATCCACGGGGGAGGGGGGCAGGACAAGATATCACCATCATCGCGAAACACAGACTGAAGTGTCAGGGAATTCAAAACAATTCTAACAAGAGGCAATATCTGTATTAACAACACACAAATAAATGAGGTCATTTTAGGTAAATGTTTATGAACTTGATGTTTTACAAAAGAGTAAACAGAAGAAGCTTCTTCCAGCACAAAATGACAATAGCTTTACTCCAAAACCCAGAAACAGATGTCAAGCACTCAATAATTAGTTACATTAGTATTTAGTGATGGGCCTGGGGAGACAGCTCAGTAGAATAAGCATTTGCCTGGCAAGAGCAGGGTCCCGAGTTCAATCCACGGTACCGCAAAAAAAAAAAAAAAATAGTCACTGTTATTTAATCTTGATTAATATGTTCTTTCCACCTTGATTGATATATGAAAGTAGGTATGCCCTTTTAAAGCTCATCCTTTTAACGAAAACATGTTAGTCACACAGCAGACATTCTGTAAATGATATAACTCGAATTCCATGGTTTAAACTATATATACATGTTCCATATGTAATAATTTTAACTAGATTAAAAATTACAGACTCGGGGCAAAGCCACTGGCCAGGGCCTCGACTGTGGCCGCCTGGCTTGCTGATATCCTGGGTGCCACTCCCCAGCCAGCCCTACATGCTGTACCAGTAACAACAGCAACTCCTCTCAGATTCTGGGCACTGCTCTGAGCAGCACCACCCTTTATACCAGCAAGCTGGCAGACACTATGGGGAGAAAACAAAATAAGTGAATGGAACAGTACTAGAAGAGAAAGAAGAGTTTATGGTGGAAAAAGTTCTTGGCCACTGAGTTGTAAAGGGCAAAGTGAGTACCTCCTAAACTGGACAGGTTTCTCAGAGGAGGAAAGGAGGAGCCAGAAGATAACCTAGAGGTCCTGACCTCGTTGCCAAGTTTCTAAAGTCACAGAAGATACCATACAAGACACATAAATCAGAGGGATCCAAGTGCAAGGCAGACTCTGGATATATGACAGAGAAAAGCAAACCAAGGGAAGGAGCCTCAGAAAAGCCAGGAGGCTTTGCCTGGGGTTTGGAGCCAGAGACTGCAGTGAAGAGCTTAAGTCTCGGGCTGGTTACTGCCAAGAAAACTAAGGTCAAGGTCACACACACCCCCATAAGAACCAGCCCTTAGGGCTGGGGATATGGCTCAGTGGTACAGCACCTGCCTAGCAAGTGTGAGGTCCTGAGTTCAATACTCAATGCCCCCCCTAAAAAAAAA